AGAGGACAGATGGCTGGGGGTCCCCGGGGAAAGAGGAAGCTGGGCATTGACTCTCACATCTGGGAGAGTAGGAGAGAATAGAAGTAACTGGGGGGGAATGGGAACTGAAAGCCCAGACTCCTGACTCAAAGGGAGAAGAGGATTAGGGGCCCAGACTCCTGGGGTGGAGGAACCAGGCACTGGACCCCTAGGCCAGTGACAGAGGTGTTCCTGGTCCTTGCCCACCTGACCATTGTCCCACCCTCACAGACCCCTCCAGAGGTGACTCTGTCTGCTTCACTACACACTGTGCAGGAGGGAGAGAAGGTCACTTTCCTGTGCCAGGCCACAGCCCAGCCTCCTGTCACAGGCTACAGGTGAGGACGAAGACCACCTCTCCCTATCCCCAAGAGTGAGCTTGGGAAGGGCTGGGACCTGAGTAGGTGTGCCGGAGAGCAGGGACAACAGTAACAGCGCCACCATTTCCTCAGGTGGGCAAAAGGGGGCTCCCCGGTGCTCGGGGCCCGCGGGCCCAAGTTGGAGGTCGTGGCAGACGCCTCGTTCCTGACTGAGGCCGTGTCCTGCGAGGTCAGCAACGCCGTGGGTAGCGCCAACCGCAGCACTACGCTGGATGTGCTGTGTGAGCTGGGACGGGGCTGTGGGTGGGGTCAAAGGTGGGCGAGGCTTTCAGGGTTGCTGAGGGGCGCGGCTTGGAGGGGCGGGGTCAGGAGAGTGGGCGTGGGGTATTAGGAGAAAGAGAGAGTGGACTTGGGGCATATTCTTGCCCCCTAGAGGGTGTGGTGTTTCTATGGGGCTGATCCCGGGTCAGGGACTGCATTCCTCCCCGGCCTTGTGACCCCTCATCTCCTTCATCCAGTTGGGCCGATTCTGCAGGCAAAGCCAGAGCCCGTGTCCGTGGACGTGGGGGAAGACGCCTCCTTCAACTGTGCCTGGCGCGAGAACCCGCTTCCACGGGTAACCTGGACCCGCCGCGGTGGCGCGCAGGTGCAGCCCTAAATCTGAGGCGGTGGCTGGCGGGGGACCAGGCTTCCTCGCAAATCCGGCTTCTGACGCCCCTTCCCTGTCGCAGGTGCTGGGCTCTGGAGCCACACTGCGCCTTCCGTCGGTGGGACCGGAGGACGCAGGCGACTATGTGTGCAGGGCTGAGCCTGGGCTCTCGGGCCGGCGGGGGGGCGCCGCGGAGGCTCGGCTGACTGAATGGTGAGAAGGCGGGGCTTCCTAGGGGACCTAGCCCGTCCTGAGATAGGGAGTGGACAGAGGGGGCAAGAGCTAATGCAGTGGGCATGGCCTAGAAGGAGCTTTACACCCAGCGGGGCCTGGAGACCGACCTATTAAAGGCGAGGCTTTTAGAGCAATCGGAGTTTGGAGGCAGCATGGCCGGACTGATTAAGGTTAGCGGAGAGTGCGCTGGCCAGACTAGGCTTTGTTACAGCCTTTGCGGAGAGCAAGGCCTCTCCTCTCAGTGACCCACCGTCTCCATCCCAACTGTCCCAGTAGTGACCGCCCTGCACTCTGAGCTTGCCTTCCTGAGGGGCCCTGCTCGCCTCCAGTGTCTGGTTTTCGCCTCTCCCGCCCCAGATGCCGTGGTAAGGAAATGTCACTCCTTCCGTGACCCATCCAGCCGTGATCCCTGACCTCCCACCTGGCCCCCCGAAACTACTGTGACCATCTCTGCCTTCCCAGACATCCCTCCAGCTTCTTCCTCCCCTCCTCAGTCTCCCTGGTGTCCTCACTCTTTTATGCTCCCAGGTCTGGTCTTGGGATGAGGGCTTTCTGGAGGCGGGGTCGCGGGGCGGGTTCCTGGTGGAGACATTCCCTGCCCCGGAGAGCCGCGGGGGACAGGGTCCGGGCCTGATCTCTGTGTACACATTTCGGGGACTCAGGAATTTGACTTTAGCAGGAGCTTTAACTGCAGTGCCCGGAACCGGCTGGGAGAAGGAGGTGCCCGGGCCAGCCTGGGCCGTAGAGGTGAGACCCCCGCCTGAAGACCCCAAATCTGGAGAGTCTAAACCCCACAAACTCAGGGATTCCCCAGCCGATGGTTGCAAAACCACAGACCCTCAAATGCAGAGACCTCCAAACCTTGGGAGTCTCAAAACTGTGGCTCATTGATTCCCAAGACCTCCCCCCAACCACAAATGCCTTCACATTCTGAATCCTAAACCAGAAGACTCCTCACACCTAGGGACCCCCAAAAGAGAAACTCCAACGATTGCAAAGCAAATTGCAAAGTAAAGGACCCCCCTCAAACTCCAAGACTTTCTAAAGCCAGGGAGTTTAAACTCACTCTCAAACTTGGGGAACCCCAAATTCAAGGGCCTTTGGATCTCCAAATGTGCAACCTTTTGAACCCAGGGATCCCAAACTCAATCCCTGAGCCCCCGCTTCCTGGTTCACCCTCAGCCTTCTCAGGATGTCCCCTCTGCTCCCTGCAAACCTGCTGCCCACTGTGCGGATAGTGGCTGGAGTGACCGCTGCCACCACGACTCTCCTTATGGTCATCACTGGGGTGGCCCTCTGCTGCTGGTGCCATGGCAAGGGTTAGTGCCTGAGCCCCGCCCCAGCTCCTCAGGCGCCAGCCCCACACACAGCCTGCCTGCCCAGTGACCTGACCTGGCCTTGGGCCTTGGCTCCAGTCCCATTTCCAGCTCTGCTCAGGGCTTAGCTCGCCTTGAGGTTCTGGTTCCCTCCTTAAGCCCTAACCAGACCTTCCCAGGGTCACATTCCTAGGTGGGAAGGATTCTTTTTTTTTTTTTTTTAATCCTTTGAGTTCTAGGGTACATGTGCATAATGTGCAGGTTTGTTACATATGTATACTTGTGCCATGTTGCTGTGCTGCAGCCATCAACTCGTCAGCACCCATCAACTCGTCATTTACATCAAGTATAACTCCCAATGCAATCCCTCCCCGCTCCATGATAGCCAGTGTGTGATGTTCCGCCGTTTCCCGAGTCCAAGTGATCTATCTCATTGTCAGCTTCCCACCTAGAGATGAGAACATGCAGTGTTTGGTTTTCTGTTCTTGTTGATTAGTTTGCTAAGGAATGAGTGGTTCAGCTGCATCCCTGTCCCCTGGCCAAAGGACAAACAAACTATTCCTTTTTTATGGCTGGCTAATCATTCCATGGTGTGTGATGTGCACACGTTTTCTTAATCCAGCTCTGTCACACTGATGGACATTTGGTGATTCCAAGTCTGGCTATTGCTGATTCGTTTGCCAACATCCGCCACTCCGATCCGCCTCCGCGGACCGGGGTAGCGATGCCAGGGTCTCCAGACCGCCTGCGTGGCCTTTAGGACCCCAAAATAAGTGGCCCAGTCCTAGAGGACCCCACATTCAAACAGCGACTCTTAATGGCCATAGTGCATCGTGGCCCTGGACGTTGCGTAAGTACCACTCTGGGGAGGTGGAGGACACACAAAGGATCACTTAAGCCTAAGGAAATTTGAAGCCAGCCTGGCAGCATAGCGGGATCCCTAATCTCTACAAAAATACAAAATAAAATAAAATGAAAAATAACCGCCGCGTATTGGTGGCAACACAGCCTATAGTCCTCAGCTACTCAGCACGGCGAGGTGGAAGGATCCATTGAGCACACAGGCAGGTTAGCAGGCTGCATGACTATGACTGCACGCAGCACACTCCCAGCCTACGGCTACAGACGCAAGATCCCTGTTCTTATTTCTTTTTTGTTATTTTTTTTGTAAGTAGGAGGGTTCTATAGTCGTCGTCCTTTTTTTTTTTTTTTTTTAACAAGAATCTCACTCGGCACCCAGACTGGAGTACAGGTGGTACAAATCTCAGGCTTACATGCAACCTCTGCCTCCCCGATTCAAGTCGATTCCCTGCCTCAGCCCTCCCTAAGTAGATGGGGATTACAGGCGCCTGTCCTCCACACCCTGACTGATTTGTATTTTTAGCAGAAATTGGGTTTGCACCTTCGGTCAGATGACCTGGTCTGAACTCCCTGCCATCAAGGTGATTCCACAGCTCGCCTGACCTCCCAAAGTGCTGGAATTACAGCAGACATGAGCCTCCACGCCAGGCCTGAGGGCGCTTAGTCTAACAGTACACCCCCGCACAAATGTCACCCAAGTCCCATGGCCCTGACCCAATTATTCCCTAGCCACTATCATCCTCTCAGCCTTTTTTTTTTTTTTTTTTTTTCTTGAGACGGAGTCTTGCCCTGTCGTCCCAGGTTGGACGTGCAGTGGCATCAAAACTCAAGCTCCACTGCATAGCTCTGCTCCCGGTTTTACGCCATTCTCCTACTTCACCCTCCCGAGTAGCTGGGCATTGCAGTGCGCCCGCCCCATCACCGCCTTAGCTAATGTTTTTTTGTTTTTTTTTTTGGGTTATTTTTTTAGATGGAGAACGGGGTTTCCCAATGTTTAGCCAGGATGGTCTCCGGTCCTCCTGACCTCGTATCCACCACTGGCTCCCAAGAGTGCCTAGATTAGCAAGGTGTGAGCCCACCGCACCCGCCTTTTATTTATTTATTTACTTGTATTTATTATTTAGAGACAAAGTCTTGCTCTGTCTCCCAACACTGGAATGGGCAGTGGAATATGATCCTGACTCCACTGCACCCTCCACCTCCAGTTCCAGCGATTCCAATTCCTTAGCCCTGAGTCAGCTGGAATTACAGGCACCTGCCAACCATCTGCTATGTTTTTGCATTTTTAGCAGACCCAGGGTTCCCAGCCTGTTAGCAAGTTGGCTCTGCAACAGGTCTGGACCTCAAGGTGATCCTCCCCGCTGCAGCCTCCCCAACATTGTCGGACTTATCACACATGAACCACCCGGCGCTGGCTTCCTCACAACTCTTTTAGATTGTCCTGAGCTGCAGTCCCGACGCACTCGGCGTGCTCTTACTCTCTCCTGCTGCCTCCAACTGGCTGGCGCTGAGCGGGTCCCTTCGGGTCCTGGCATGGGTGACGGGAGAGCCATCTGACTATCTCCCTTCCTCACTATAGTTCTACCCAGGCCCCACATTGGTGCAGCACTGACCACAGTAATTCTGGGTTCTGGAGACGGAAGGGACTCTGGAGCAGGTGGAGTGTTTCGGGAGGGGTGGCCTCCCTTCACCGTGTTTTCCATCTCTCCCATGCCTGTCCCTCCTTTTTCCTTCTGTTGCCTCAGAACTGGGGCCTGCGCAGCTCTCACGCCACTCACCTGCCCCTGGAGCATCTCACACGCTCCTAGCCTCAATTTGCCTCCTGCCAGACGTCCTGCCCACCCATCTGGTCCCAGCCCCAGCCCTCCCATCTGAACCCCAGATGGGTGCTGCAGCTATGCCTGGCTCTCCTATCACCGTCCAGCCCCCCTTCAGCCTTATACATGCCCCATATCTCCACAAACCTATCCTTCCCTCCATGGATCCTACCCTTCAGACAGCACATTGATTCCAGGCATCCCAGCACCACAGCACTTCCTCTCTCTCCTCCTCGCACCTAGCACAATCCATTCTCCTAATTCTTTGTCTCTCCTCTGCGCTCTTTTTTCTTTTTTTGAAGCCGGAGTCTCAACCTCCATTGCCCCGGGTTGGAGTGCATGGTGCAACCCGGCTCACTGCAACCTCTGCCTCCCTGGGTTCAAGCCACTTCTCCTGTCCTCCAGGCTCCCGAATAGCTGCTAATTTTTCTTGTATTTTTAGTAAAAGATGGTTTCACCATGTTGGCCAGCTGGCCTTGAACTCCTGGACTCAAATGATCTGCCCACCCTCAGCCAACATGCTGGATTACAGTCTGAGCCCCACCGTACAGCTGACATGCCATTCTCTTGGCCTGAAACACTCCTTACCTTTCTTGCCCATGTCTACTCCATTCCTCCTTTAGTCCCTCCAGTCTCAGCTCGGACATTTCTGGTCCAGGAACCCAGTACTTCTATTGGGGAATCCCCAGTATTTCAACCATAGTCTTTCAACATTCATAAATATCAGAACATGAGAGGAAAAATACACAGCACACAGGGTGACATTTCTATATGAAAAAGTGATGTCCACCTAGAATCTCAGACCAGCAAGTTATATACAGGAGGGGGTGTAAAACAGGGAAAGGAAATACAGATCATTATATTTGAGACTTCACAGGCAAAACAAAGCAGACAACTGATATAAAGGGATCATAGCAAAGATTACAATCATACACTCATGAGAGGAACACAGGCAGGCAAGTAGAACACTGATTAAGAGGTCTATGTTCAGCGTTGCACATATTGTGCTTGATAACATCTAAATAACAGAGAACATTGTTCAGAGCAGAGAACCAGTCTGACCACAAATTTACCAGGCCAGGAGATTTCCCGCCTAGTAAGCCTGAGGGTACTGCAAGAGACCAGGGCTGTATTTCAGTCCTTATCTCAACTGCATAAGACAGACATTCCCAGAGTGGCCATTTATAGACCTCCCCCGCAAGGCAATATATTCCTTTCCCCAGGCTATTAATATTAATATTCCTTGCTATGAAAAGAATTTAGCGATATCTCTCCTACTTGCACGTCTGTTTATAGGCTCTCTGCAAAAAGAAAAATGAGGCTCTTTTTGCCCAACCCCGCAGGCAGTCAGACCTTATGGCTGTCTTCCCTTGTTCCCTAAAAATCACTGTTGTTATGTTCTTTTTCAAGGTGCACTGATTTCATATTGTTCAAACACACATGTTTTACAATCAATTTGTATAGTTAACACAATTATCACAGTGGTCCTGAGGTGATATACATCCTCAGTTTATGAAGATAACAGGATTAACAGATTAAAGACAGGGATAAAAAATTATAAAAGTATATTTGGGAACTGATAAATGTCCATATTAAAGTGAAATCTTCACAATTTGTGTTCCTCTGCCATGGCTCCAGCTGGTCCCTCTGTTCAGGGTCCCTGACTTCCCACAACATGCTTCCATCACGACAGCCCGATCATTCTGCCTGTGTTCCACCCATCACAACCATGACCACTCTGATCTGGGCTTCCTTATCCTGCTCGCTATGCTGAGGGCTCTGCCATCACAGACCCTGTCACTGCCTATGACTTTCCCAGGCACAGCCCTGACCCCTCTGGGTACTGTCTCATGATTTGTCATTTTTTCCTTGGTGTGGGATTCTGTGAGGACAGGGTTCAGTTCTACCTTAGTGACATGCCTTGTAGCAGCAACACAGGGCATGACACTGAATCAAAGCCTAGAAGCTGTTGGGCAGGTGAGTGTCTCTCTCCTGTTCCCTCTGCATCTTCCACACTGACACCCCTCAACAGGCCTATATCCCAGAGTTCCCAGAAAGAAAAGGTACCTTTGCTGTTTGGGCACCTAGCCATTCTGGCCCGTGGGCTTTGGAGAGCCCAAGCTGACCAGGGGTGGAAGTGGTGTCTCAGTGCAGCACACCCATCCTGCAAAAATGTGGCCAGACTCTTGTTTAAGTCAGTCCCCGACCACATTTCTAATCGCTGGGTGGAGCCTTTCAAACAGGGTCTCCAGCCACCTTCACTGCTGTTCTCTGGCTGACAGAGGTTTCAGGCCTCCCTGAGTCAGAGCTCCCAGGGGAAGGACTAGACT